GACAAACTTATTTTCCGTCGCAATTTTTCCGTCGCAAAAGGTAATTTTTTTGTAGTGAAATCAATTTTGAGTGCACACCTAGAAGAGATTCTACTCCTATGATAATCCTTTACTAGATCTGTGGCCATTAGAATATTATCACTAATGAGACAACCCTTGACAAAAGCAGACTAGCTTATGCTAATTAGCAATGGTAAAACCAATGACAGCTTATTAGACAAAAGCATAGAAATGCCCTTATAGATCACGTTGCAACAGGATATAAGCCTAAAATCTTTCATTCGTTCAACAACTTGAAGCTTGGGAATAAGAGAGATAACTGTCGAATTTACCTGTCGAGGCATAACTCCAGTTTTAAAAAACTCCAACACAACGTTCTCTACCTCAGTCCCCACTACCTCCCAGTCCAGCTTAAAAAATTCTGCAATGTACCCATCTAGGCTCGGCGCCTTGTCATTACTCATCCCAAAGAAGACCTTTTTAATTTCTGCCCTGGTAACTGGAGTGGTCAGTAAAGCAGCATCTTCATCAGTAAGCTTCAGACACAATAGATAGTCAAAGAACCTACTAGGGAGCTGCTGAACAAAGGCGTCTGCATTTCCAAGTAGCCGCTTATAAAAATCCACTGCAACTATACTCATTGCTTTCACATCAGTTACTACTTCCCTAGTCTCAGTGAGCAACTTCTGAATAGTCAATTTGTGATTCCTGGCCTTAACCATACCATGAAAAAACCTAGTATTAGCATCCCCTCTAATTTCTGCCCTCGACTTTTGCCTATAGAAGACTCCTCAGCACTCTCTAGATCCCTGCATATTTTCTCCTGCTGAAGTACAGCCTGTGAGTTAACTTCAGAGGGATCAGAGTAGTTAGTCTTATTCAAACTTTTAAGCCTTCTTTTAAGCTCTCCCAGTTTCCTATATAATATTCGATAAGGTTCCCCAGTAGCCTCCAGCTTCCATGCCTCTCTCAACAACTCTTCTTATTGAGGATATTGCCTCCAAAATAAGAAGAACTTAAAAGGTTTTGGCAATAAAGTAAGTCTAGAGTCAGTCTGCACAAGCAATCCACAATGATCTGACACCCCAGCAGCAAGAGTCTGCACTAGACTATTTGGAAACCTATCCAGCTACTTCTCAGTAACCAGGGCCCTATCAATCCGCATTGCAATTGGATTATTAACCTGTTTGTCCACCAAGTATACCACGAACCCAATGGTTTATGTAAGCTTCATATCCTGAATCCAGCAACGAAAACCTTCCATACTCTGATTAAAACCAGGACGGTTTGAAGCTTCACTATCTTCAACAATAGCATTGAAGTCCCCTATCCAAACTCCAGGCTCACTAGTCACTCCCAACTGTCTCAACTCATCATATAACTTTGCCCTATCATGCACTTTATTTAGGCTATAAACTGCAGTAACAAGGTATGATTCTATGCCAGACTGAATACGAACACTAATAAAATGTTCCCCATTCCAACTTCACTAACTACCAAATGAGGTTTCCAGAACAGCCAAACCCGACCAGAAGGAGAATATTTATAATTATCTAGCTGCTTCCAACTACTAAAACGCTTATTTCTTATATCATCAGCATTATGCTTTAATACTCTAGTTTCCAAAATAGCAAAAAACTCAACTTGTAACTTCAATACCTTTTTATTTACGTATCTATGTTTTTCAGGGGCATTGAATCCCCTGAGATTCCAACTGAGAAACTTCATTTTTTCCTCCTGTTCTTCCCATCCTTCTTTGGAGAAGCAGGAATCACAAGCTCAATACTCTTTGGATTTAGCGGCACTCGATAACTAGCTGCCGAGGCTGGAATTCTAACATTGCTACTTTGATCATGACCTGCAGATACACCTTTGCCCTACGCACCACTAGCTGAAAACCATCTGCATCCACCTGATCCTCCCTCAAAGGTGTAGAAGAGCTGGCAGCAATAGCTTCCCCCACAACCCCTTGAATCTCTAGAGCCACTGATGCTATAGAACACCAGAACCCCCAGAACCCTCTGATACTGATGTAGCACCCTCTGCACTCTCCACTGCCTTACACTTGTCAACTGAAGCAACATTAATGACAACTTCCTCCTCAACCACAGCCAGTCGAGTAGCAGCAGCCTTCCCACATTCCAAGCCTTCACCCATAGCATGACCGAACTCAGCACATTGTTCACAATGAGGTGGAATACTGAGATAATGAACGAGGTGGAATACTGAGATAATCAACCTCTCCTCTCTCTCCGGACCAATCCGAATTTCAGTTGGGAAAAGGGAATCAACAGCCATCTCAATACATAACTTGGTCGTACCCATCTGAGCGCCAAGCTTAGTTGCCTGGTCCATCCACAATGGTGTACCCAGCAAGCTTGCAACCCTACTTAATCCATCCACTGTCATGTACTCCCGCGGCAACTCTCGAATTCGCATCCAAATCGGCAACTTAGTACAATCCATCTTAACTGATTGAATCCCTGGAACCCATTTGCGGAGAAACAAGGGAATGTTCTCACAGTGCCAAGGGCCATTCTCAAACACCCACATACTCGACTCTTCACTCTCAAATTGAAACAAGAACATATTTGTACCAAACACTGAAACAAAAACCCTACCATCTCTTCCCCAGAAACGCTGAGCCCATCGACGAATCACAGCAATCGGAGGTGCCGCCGTGAGAAACTGACCCACCAAAGCATTGCGCATCTAACTGCTCCCTCATCACGAACCGCCCTAGGAACAACAAGCTCCCCATCCACCAGATTCAGTGCGACATAGCGAAGCCGGTTACCCTCGCCCACGCCGAACAGATGAGCCCAATTTAAAGGCTCTGGCGCGGCCATGTCACCGCACCCTTGAAACTCGATCTAGGTCAGAAGGAGAGAGAAGGGAGAGTTTTTCCGCTGATCTTGTTTATCTATAAGGTTATTCCTACTCTTATGGAGGTTTAGCGAAAGCTCCAAACTACGACTATGACTATATTTGCAGAGAAAAGATAAAACTTGATGTTGGCGCCATTTGTGTGATTTGGGAACCTCTATCTTTGTCGACCTCCCCTCTTATTTATAGGAGTGGGGTGGTCACCGCCTTGGAGAACCGTCTGCTTAGTAACTCCCTAAAAAGAACAACTCCCTCCTTCCTCGCACTTGTCTTCAAACCATGGTCCATAAAACCGTACTGTACCGGCGGTTCAACCACAAAATACCAATATCGGAGGCTAAACCGGTAGGCGGTATTTAACGGTACTAACGGTTGAACTACGGTTAAACCACTGTTTTGTCATAAAATACCCTACCGCTGACTTTTCCGATACGGTCTCCGGTACGGTTTCATGGACCATGCTTCAAACTTACATATTGGTTACTCTCTCAACCAACTAGGTGCCTCTCTTTTGAAATCATCATGGGTCTTGAAGTGTAGTTTGCATCTCCTGGTCATGTTCCAAGTGATCTCACCAATGCTAGTCTTGTGATGAGCATGTGATGTCTCGCAAAGAGGTTCGTGGTCCTCTTGTTAACCACATGGCTCCATTGTCTCACACCCACAAACTTCTCACTCATGCACATGACCATATGATCGAAAATGGCGGTGACCATATGATCGAAAATGGCGGTGAGCGGTGATCGAAAATGGCACATGACCATAAAATTAATAAAGTATTTTGTCTCCACAAAGTGGAACCAAAATCCCTATCTAATTTGTTAAAAACACACAGAAGACTAATGGGTAAATTGCAAGGTTGGTCACTGGAATTACTGAAACAGTTCATGTTTAGTCACTAAAAATACTTAATTCCATTTTTAGTCACTAGAATTAGGTAAACATTCCAAGTTTTGTCACTCTCCGTTACCTTCCGTTAGTCTCTATTAACACCGTCAGTTTTTATAATGATGTGGCTAACAGAAAAGCTGACTCGCCATTTTTTAACCTGCCATATCATAAAACCCAACTCTCCATGTCATAAACCCGCATCCAACCCAACCCAATTTAACCCCATCTGACCCGACCCTCTATTTTAACCCGATTGCTGCTTCCTCTCACCTCAATTTGAGATAACCCTTCTTTTCCGTGACGACCGACCCACCATAATCGCAACGATCAACACCCTAAGCTTTCCCCCTCTATCGCCGGCCACCAAATTCCAAAGATCCCCGGGAACTGTTGCTCGCTATGGTGATGAGTGATTCTTATTATAGAGTCGAAGATGACAAAGGGAAGAAACAGAGCAGAATCCATCTTCGCTTCCCCATCTCCAAATCCCCGTCAATGCGAGCTTTCAGATCTACCAGCTTGAGAAGCCGTCGTTGGATCTTCTTACCCTCCAATCCACCTTATTAACTTCTTATATCACATGGAATCGTCGCTAGTGTGGGATTTGACGGCGAAGAGCAAGAAGAAGAAGGGTACTCTTTGTTCTTCTCTACCTTTGTTCTTCGCCGCTTCTCCTGGATAGAGCACCCCCTGATTTGAGAGCGACCCAACAAAATTAATTGCTTCTTCGATTGCTAAGGCCTGTCGCGCCATTCGATTGCTAAGGAAGAAATGAGATAAGGGAAATCGAAATCGAATTAAACAGGAATTAATCGGATTCTCTCCTCCCTCTGAATTTCAGTTTCTCTCTAGGGACTGGGCGGTGTTATTTAGTAATTGGTTGGGTTATATTTATGGTAAGAATCAGTGCAAGAGGGAATCTAGAGTTGAGAGATGGGGGAAATTGGAAACAGAGGGCAAAAGGTGGGAAATTTGGAGTTTTGGAGTTTGCGATGATGGTGAATGGTGATGGCCGATGGGGATGGGATGGGATGGGGTCGGGTCTTGTTCTTGGTTGGGTTAGGGTAGGTTTTGTGACTTGGCATGCTTTAATGATGTGGAGAGTTGAGTTTTATGACTTGGCAGGTTAAATTTTGGTGAGTCAGTCTTTCTGTTAGTCACATCATCAAAAAATTGACGGTGTTAGCAGAGATTAACGGAAGGTAACGGAGAGTGCCAAACTTGACCAAACTGTTTTAGTAATCCCAGTGACCAACCTTGTAATTTACACGAAGACTAATTAACCATAGTCATAGGCAGAGTTCGTTGATGTGATGACCATATACAAGGCCGTAATCAATTCCAAACCAGATTTGAAGAAACCCTGAGTTAGGATGCGAGTTATACATCTTTCCAATATATACACTGATCGAAGTGAAAGTTGCATCAGGCAACTACGGAAGTACAAGGGAGACAAAACCCCGCAAAAATCTACAAATTGGCCACTTCCATGGAATCAATCTCCAGTTGCTTCACTAAGAACCTGTATCCACGCGATCTGCAAACATCAAACAAAAATCAATTACCAAGGAACGAGATCTATTGCGCTCATTCGTTTAGAGTAAAGAGTTAACAAATAGACAACCTGGAATTTCAGAATGCTGATGGTCCAACTGAAGAGTATCCAGCAGCTCTCATCTCTTCAGAGTACTAGATAACCAGTCCAGGCCCTCGTATAACCCATCTCCCTTTAGCGCACACGTCCCTTGTATGTGCCATTTTCTGTTTTTGAGTTCGAATAGGCCCAACCCTTGGCCTACTTCCGCTGGAGTCATTGCACCTTTCTGAAAACCACCCAACATGTTGGTCGAGCATGACAGGTGTATAACAATTCTATCATATGACTATGAACATGTACATCACAGCTACTGACACAAACGTACCATATCCTGTTTGTTGGCAAACACCAAGATGACACTGTTAAGCATAAACGGATCTTTGATTATGGCCTGCAACACATTAGGGAGATTATCTCATTCAATGACTCTTCTTGATTCCTATAATGTAGCAAATTTCTTAAACTTAGATTGCATGGGATGTGCAAACCTGAAACTCTGCCTTTGCTTTGACAATCCTCTCTCTGTCCAAGGAATCAACCACATATATCTGCATCAAGGGCACGTATTACGCACTGATCCACAACTACAAAAGAATACTCACTCAACTCCTGTGATAATTGGAACTTTGCCTACACTCACAACAAAACATATAAAAACACTAGCACCGAACAAAAAGAGCCCCCAACAACAGAGATTTATGAAAGCTGTATTTCTATTTCTGACTTGTACTAGTATTTCTATTTCTATTTCTATTTCTACTTGGAGCTAATAGTTATTTCACGGCAACAAGGATTTTGGTATGCACATGAAATATAAATATTTTTTAAAGGGTAAGTAGGAAAACAATGCGTAGTTGCAGATATGGAGGGCACATAGTTCACAGTATAATGGATTTTCAGCAGTAAAATTTAATAAGAAAAGTTATACACGTGGTCATACCAAGCCATCAGTATTATTGAAATAATGCCTCCAAAGTGGTCGTAATTTTTCTTGGCCTCCAACATCCCAAACAGTGAACACCACATTCTTATATTGTACTTTCTCCACGTTGAAACCTACAACAGATATCCAGAACCAAAATTTCAGAACCAACAAATACACTATCAAATGAGGAAAATGTCCAATATATTGACCATGAAGAATGTGATCACGTTCCTTCTTATTTGTGGCGCTTCCAACAACAGGCAAATCGACCACTTACCTATTGTCGGGACCGTAGATAGAACTTCTCCAATGTGTAGCTTGTAAAGTATAGTTGTTTTACCAGCTGCATCCAGTCCCAGCATCACAACCTAGGCCAGCAATAAGAATAAGAATCAATCAAGAACTGGAATAACCAAAGTCATATCCGAGTTCCTGAAAAAGCAAACAAAGAATCACATATATATGAGAAAACAGAAAAAAATATTTTCTCACATGTATCAAACTTCAATGAACATTGCACCGTGTTTGAAGACAAAAATGCACATAATTTGTTGAACTGGTGTAATTTTTTTCATTCAATTATGCCCCTGTTTTGTTACAAATGCACCCACACCACCCTTCCCGAAACAAGCACAAAAAAGGTCATTAAGTTCTCAACTATGCACTTGCACCTGTAACTTAGCGTCTGTACCAACTACCAAGTTACTATGACTTGATTACCTGGTCGCATTCAAAGAGTTATTTGCACCAGTATTCACTCATATACAGACAATTACAAATAATGAACCACATCACATACTGAACATATCAAGGACAGAATGCTGGAAAAAAGAATCAGCAACAGCACACAAAAGTAATCTCGAACTCTTCTTGACATATAGGGACTTAAACTTGATGCTGTCCCAGGCATTTGATGTCAACCCATCATCCATTAAATATGGCATAATTAGAGTACAATGAGATTTGAAGAAGAATCCTTCATGCAGAGGATTGCCAATATCATTCTACATATATAACTTGAGAAGCTTGCTTGCATCAAGCACGCAAGCATCTATGTCCAACATAACAGTGCCACTTCTTGGTGAAAGAACATTAAAAGAACTATTATCCCCTAGCATTTGGCAAGGTGATGGTCCTGTGACGAATACCAGTACAAAATTAATAACATACAACCTTTTGGCTCCCTGGGAGTCGGAGATATAGCTAAACACCTGCCAAGTCCAAAAACAGAACACTTACTACAGTAAAGATCCTTTGGAATGCTGAGCAATCCAAATCCCACCCCTCTCTCATTATTCACAACAAGTCACCAGTTAAGAACTTCTTCATTTCGCAGAAGTAAAGCCTAGAGTAAAGATCTGATACGAAATTTATTACAATTCGGATGCACACAAACCCATCTCTCTTCTCCAATGAATTTGCACACAGAACAAGCGGCTACACTAAATTGAGGATAACAAGCTAAAAGTTAAGATTAAGACTAACTCCAGCGGATTAATGTGACTTTCGAACAATGAAATCACTAAACCGGTTGAAAGAGCTAAAGAAGAACAAATCGATCAAAATCTCATCATCAACAGACAAAACCTAGCTATGGAACGAGCTGGCAGAAGAGCGAAAGCTGGCTGTACAATAGAGAGATAGAATATCAGTGATCAAGGTCGGGCATAAGAGGAAAGAGCGCGAGGAAGAAGTACCCGCATCTCGGTGTTGCCGAAGAAAGAATCAAAGAGCTTCCGAAAGGCTTGACCCATTGGTACACCACCTCCCTCTCCTCCGCTGATCGCTGATTTTGATGCAGCTCCAGATCTTCCCTCTCCTGCTATTTAGGGGATTGCGCAGACGAGAAGGGAGAAATGAGCAATCGATTCCTTTAGAGGGTCGCGGACGGAAGGAGTAAAATTAAAAAAAAAAAAAAAAGCTTCTCTTGGTTTTGTAGCGTTAAGAAATTTTCCGGGAAAATTAAGAGGAGAGAAAACGAGCCAAGCAGCCAGGCGGCCAAAGATGACACACATCGTGTAATAGTAGTAAACAGCGTGTGCATTTTTTTTTTTTTAAATTGCTATTTTTCGTTCCTAACAATTAGGATGGTTATACGGTCCGATCCGGTTAAATTGGCTCAAATTGATTTGATCCAGTCCGGTTTTTTTGAAAATATAAGGATCAAAGATTGGATTGGATACAATTTGGTCTTGACCCGGTACGGTCCCAATTCGGTTTTGATTTTATATTGAGTTTGTGGGGATTTGAGTGGCCTAAGGCCTGAAAGGGTGAGGAGTTGGTTAAGTTTTGTACTAAGTGCAAAGGTTTGTGACCGTTTATGCAAATTACCCTTAAGTTTTAGGTGTTAAGCTCTCTTATTCGGTCTTTATCCAGTTTTCGATCCAGTCCCTAATGATTTTTTTACCTCAAATCTAAGCCCAAAGATTGGATTGAATTGTTTACTATTCGGTTCAGGTCCGGTCTCGGTCCGGGTTATACGGTCCGATTTGGATTAAAACAAAAAAACCGGACCAAAGAGCCAACCCTACTAACAATTACTAAACACGGTCCTAAGAAATGTTAAAGTTACATTTATATCCTTTTATACATAATAGGTACTCTTCATCAGGAAACGGAAAAGTCACTTGAAACCTCCATTCGCCACCCAGTAGTTCCTCCTTCCCGACCGCCGCCACATCCTCCGGCCAGGTTCCGCTGCGCATTTCTGATGTCCTTGCCCTTCCTCAGGACGACGAACCCGAGGAATTGATTGCAGAGGGTGGATTAGCGAAAAGTTATAAAAAAAACCGTGGGCTGTCCTCTCCTCTCCCCACGACTGACGGTTTCCGTCAGTGCTCGCCGTTGTGCGACATGCCTCCGCCTTCGAAGCGGTTGGGCTCCCTTATGGGTCTTTCAATCGACCTTTTAAGGCGTCGATTGCACTATGCTGATTCCCTGTTCCACCGCCATTTTCCCCTTGCGTTCATTCTCATCCTCCGTGCGATCCCTAACTTTCGAATTCCGATGGCGGCTGAGCTTGTTGCTGTCTACAATGATGCGATTATTGCTGCTGCGGAGGAGAGGGCAGAACTCAATTCCGATGGCCCCGCCCCTTCCGTTGGTAGTCTGCAGAGCTTCTTGGTGGACCTCTGGAATTGTAATGGATCGCTGGCTGTTTTGCCGGTGGAAGAGGGACTTACCCAGTTCATCTTCTCTGATGCCGCTGACCTTGCCCACGTCCGAGACAAATCCCCATGGATTCAGCCTCGATTCCTGATCCATCTTCGCCCCTGGTGTTCTCCTTCTGCGGAGGTTGTTGACTCCCTTTACCAAATTCCCCTTTGGGTGCAATTTTGGAAAGTCCCTTCTGCAGGACACACAGTATTAATGGCCCGATGCCTGGGTTCCACCATGGGTGAGCTGAAAGAAGCGGCTGTTCACATCGGCCGCAGGACTGGTGGCGTGTATCTCCGGGCAAAAGTGGCGCTTGACATCACCAGACCTCTGCCTGTTTCCGTTACAGCCTCGCATGAAGACAACAGTAAAGGATTCTTCAAAGCCTCTGTTTTTTATGAGAAATTACCTCTGTTTTGCTTTTGCTGTGGTGTCATAGGCCATACTAGTTCTCGCTGCGAGTTCATCTCCGAGTTTGCTGGGAAGGATCTACCTTATGGGAAGCATATCCTAACTTATGACAAGGGCTCCCGAGTGGATGAACACACTCTACGTAGGAAGGCTGCGCGTTTCTCTTGGAATCGCCCTGGCTTTGAGAGGCCTCTCGGCCAATACTCCAAATCTGCCGACCGCCCATCCACCCATGACCGGGATACTTCCGGAATGCAGCGCCTATCCTTAGAACCTGCTGCTGCTGGCACTCTATCCTTGCATCTTGACTCTCACTCCCGCAAACGTTCCACTCTCGAAGATGGCGAAATCCCCCCAGCATCCAAAGCTTTGTGCGTGGAGGGTCCAGTCAGGCACCTTGCCAATGTTGCTCCGTCTGTTCAGGTGGTGGAAACCGACCTTGATCGGTCCCAATCCAAGATATGAGTATCCTGGCTTGGAATTGTCGAGGATTTGGCAAATCCTTGGCTCGTCGGTCCTTATTATCTGCCGTGTTTAGTAGGTCTCCCATGATTGTTTTTCTTTGTGAGACAAAGTGTCGTGATAGGAAAGTTAAAGCGCGTCTTGCTCGTCTAGGTTTTTCAGATTCTGTCCTTGTCAGTCCTGTGAACACTTCCGGTGGTATGGTGGTTACTTGGACCTCGGAAGTGGCCTGTTCAGTTGTGTTTCAATGTTCTGCTTTCTTGGTAGTGGATTGTGTTCACCAAGTTTATGGAGTCTTTACTATTGTCTTCGTGCATCTGAGTTGTAATGAGGGGGAACGAATAAATCAATTCAATGCCATTTCTGATTACCTTTTGCCTCTCTCCACTCCTTCCTTTAAATAGGGTGATTTTAATTGTCTGTTAGTTTCCTCTGAAAAGTTGGGAGGCAGACCTCCAACATCACATTCCTTGTCTATTCTGCAGAACTTTCTTTCCCGTCTTAACTTGCAGGACCTGGGTTTTCTTGGCCCTCCTTTCACATGGTCCAATGGCGATCACCTCAAGATCATATCATGGAGCGCCTCGATCGCTGCTTGGCGTCGCCTTCGGCCCTTACTTCTTGGCAAGGTATGCAAATTCACCATCTCTCTGATCTTGGATCTGACCATCGTATGATTTTGCTGCAGCTACATCCCGCGGCGGCTCGTACGAAGGCAAATTTCCACTTCGATGCTCGCTGGATTGATAATCTGGAAGCTCAAGGAATCTTAGAATCTGAATGGCATCGTACCTACAGTGGTACCTTTCAATTCCAACTCCATTCCACCTTGAAGTCTTCCCGCCACCACCTTTTCAGCTGGGCCTCTAAAGGAACTTCTAATTCTGCTCGGGCGATTCGCGAGACTCAGGATGCCATCACTTCTCTTCGAACGAACTATCCAATTGATTGGGTAACTATCAGTCAACTGGAGCAACAATTAGCTGAAGCTTACCTCCAGGAAGAACTCTACTGGCAACAGAAATCCCGAATCACTTACTTAACGGAAGGAGACTCAAATACATGGTTTTTTCATCTAACGACCTTGCAGCGACGTCGTAAGAATAGGATTCTTGCCATCCGCGATGAAAATGGCGTTCTCCACTCTGAGGAATCTGATAAAGGTATGTTAGCTACTCAATATTTCATTCTCCAATTCACTTCTGAATCCTCAAATGTTCAATCATTCTTAGACTGTTTGGGACTGCCGGTTATGGTTACTAACGATATGAATGCTTCCCTCACTGCCTCTGTTTCTCGCGAGGATATTCGTTCTGCTGTTTTCAGTATAGGAGGATTTTAGGCCCCTGGTTTAGACGGTTTTACCGGCATTTCTTCCAATCTTTTTGGGGTCTGGTTGGAGATTCAGTTGTGGCTGCAGTACAGGAATTCTTTGTCACCAGCCACCTTTTGCCTAACTTTAACCACACTTGGATCACCTTATTACCTAAAGTCCCAAATGCAGAATCGATGAGGCAAATGCGACCCATTGGCTTATGTCAGGTATTTTATAAGGTGATTTCGAAGATTCTCTCCACTCGCCTAGTTGCTATCCTCCCTCATGTGGTAAGTCCCTTTCAAAATGGTTTTGTCAAGGGTCGGTTAATCTATGATAACATTCTTATCGGGCAGGAAGTGTTGCATTTCCTGAAAACTAATATTGTTGGCCAAGATAAGTGGATGGCCTTAAAATTAGATATGGAGAAAGCTTACGATCGGGTTGAATGGGAATTTTTGTTCTCTCTGTTACAACGTCTGGGTTTTTGTGCTCAATGGTTACAATGGCTTAAACAATGTGTCACTACTGTGTCTTTCTCGGTCTTGATTAATGGGAGCCCGCACGGTTTCTTTCATCCGGAACGTGGTATCCGCCAAGGAGATCCCCTATCTCCTCTGCTTTTTGCTCTCTATACAGAAGGTTTTTCTCATTTTATTGACCAGGCAATCCAAGCTCAGTTTCTTCATGGGATAAAAGTGCATTGGCGATGTCCGGTGATATCGCATTTATTTTACGCTGATGACACTTATCTTTTTCTCAAAGCTTCAATCCCGGAATGTCATAACCTCCTCTCTTTGTTTGCCTCTTATCAACAGGTCAGTGGGCAAAAAGTCAATCTCATAAATCATCAGTCACTTTTAGCAGAAATACTTCTTCTGATGATGCAGCAGCCATTACCAATTTGTTGGGAGTAGCGGAAAGCACGTTAGAAGATCGCTATTTAGGACTTCCTAATCATATTGCTCGGTCCAAACAAGCTACCTTTCAATTCATTGAAGATAAGCTAGTCTCTCGACTTCAACAATGGAAATCCAAGGCTCTATCTCTTGCTGCTAAAGAAACCCTCCTGAAGTCCGTTGCCAATGTTTGCCGAACTATGCTATGCTTAGTTTCCGCATACCATCAACTTCCTGTAGACGACTTAATGGTCATTTGGAGAGGTTCTGGTGGGCTCAACAAGATCGAGGTGAAGGTATGAAATGGGCATCCTGCCGATCGCTGTGTCGGCCCAAGATCCATGGTGGACTCGGATTTCGAGACTTCGACAGCAATAATATTGCTCTTCTAGCCAAACAAGCATGGCGAATCCTCCATTCTCCGGATTGTGCTCTAGGCGTGCTATATAAAGCTAAATATTTTCCTCAGACTTCATTTTTGCAGGCTGTTCAAGGAGCTCGGCCATCCTGGGCCTGGCAAGGCGTTCTGCTTGGGCGTGATCTCTTGCTGCAAGGTCTCCGCTGGCTCGTTGGATCCGGCACACAAATCCACATTACTAATGATTGCTGGCTCCCCACCACGCCTCCTTCTCGTCCCAAGCTTTTGGCCCATGCTGTTCTGTCGTCTACACAGGTTTCCTCTCTCATTGACCACTCGAATGGAACTTGGAAA